AGGTCGGTCTAAAGTTCGATTCCGTCTGGACCAACCAAGCTCTCTACCTGGGGCCGGTAAATTTGGTAGCAGTGTAATATGAGAAAATAAATCGCCGGTACTTGGTAGTGGTTCTCGCAAGCCTGTAGAAGGCCTGCACGCATTTGCTAGGCTCTTCGACTGTGAAGTCGAATGGTGCTTGCCCGCAGAGAGTATGGAAGACACCGACCTATCTCTTAATCCGAGCTACTGATTAATTTCTTTCTTCGCTTTTTAGCGCAGTAAATGTCTCCACTTGCAGCAGAGGCAACATCAGTGCTGATCAAAGACAATGATAAGGAAGCTTCCATCAGTGGAGAAGAAGGTGCAGGCCATTGTCAGAAGCACTGCCCTCTGACTGTCCACCGAGTAAGACGCAACTCTGATCCTCGAGAGCCGCAGTGCAAGGTCGCAAACGAGTCAGTAACTTTTCCCGATTTTTTTGTTTAATTTCCTCAGAAAGTGGAGATCTACTTTTTTCCTCCTCGCATGTACTAGGTCCGCTGCTCTCTTCCAACACCATGCTCGTTCATATGGTAGCATCAGCTCACTGCCCGAAAACAGGCAAAGAGAAAAAGCACTACTTCTTACGCAGTGCTCTTGTGAAAATGATCTTAAGTGTGTGAGCTTTCTCGGATTGAACTCTCCATTTGTATGTGCTCAAGTTTTCCATTCCTCATCCTCTATTCTCCTGTCTCGTTTCACTGTTCCAGCAAAACCTTTGTTGAGAGGTATAGACGTGATGACTATATGTTGCTTGTGGTCATTGCCATGTTTTTCTTATTGTTAGCTCCCAAATTGTTTGTCATCAACTTGAGACGTTATAGTCCTATTAATTACTTATTCTAGGGTCTTTACAACACTCGTTTTTGCTGAACCGGAGCGATGCGAAACTAACTGCGAGAAAAGTTTGTTTATTTCAAGCAGCCATGAGCTAACTGATGTGTTATTTTTTAGTAAACGAGGATCCACCAATATTGATGAAGTCCTCTCCCCATGCACATTCTCATGGCGTGCGTTCAATAACGTTCGTTCTTGCTCTATCTATTCATTCAGTCATTGAAGGCATCGCATTGGGAGTAGGGGTAAGCTTCTTACGTCTTGGTGCTGGCCATCCTCTTTTGTGTCTTAACCTTGGCATTGTGTCGTGTCAATGCGAGATTTGCTTGAGTTTGTTCACCAGAATTGACACAATCTTTTTACCGTTTGACTTAACCTCTTAAGGGCAGTGTCCGGGCA